AAAAAAAAAAAACCTTGGGCTCCAAGTCTCCAATAAGTTTTCCTGGTAGACAGCCTTTCATAATTGCCAAAATTCGATTTTGGAGAAATTATGTACATCCTTTGGGATTTTACTGGGATAAGACTCTTGGAAGCTGGTTCCCAGCCCGCGTGCCTTTCCCCTTTGCTGATGTTTCCTTTGGTGCAATAAATCACAGCTGTGAGTGTGACTCAGTGCTGAATCCAGTGAGTCAGTGCTCAGTTCAGTGAGTCCCACAGTGAATCATGGAACGTGGAGGTGGCCCTGGGGATCCCAGACACAAGTACTCTCCCGACTCTTTCAACTTAATAAATAATTTGCCTGTTTCCATATCAGGGCAACATTATACACAACAAATCAAGCAGATTAAGAGTACCAAAGTCCAATTATAAAAATTCCTGATTTCTTAGCTAAAAATAGGTACACTTTTTTAAATAGCTGCAAATATATATATCACTTCCTTTTTTTTAATTCTACAATACAATAGGAATCTCTCTGTGTCTCATTTTCTTTCCACTAAGCAATAGGTCTCTTTGCTGCTTAAGCTCCATCCCTGCTCTGCCCTGGACTCCATATCAGTATCCCAGAGGCCCCCACTGGAATGTCAGGTGTTCTGTCCCCTATGGTAGTGAGTTTCTGGAATGGAGAGCAACATCGCTTATGAAACCTCCAGGGTCCTTTGCTCTGAATAAGATCAAACAGTATAAACTTCCAAGGAAGATCTTTTCTCAGTTCTTTAGAATATGCATGAACTACATAAGAGAAAGGAGAAATCAAAGAATGACCCAAAGCAGAACATGAAATGTAATTTTTGCAATTTCAGACTTTGAGGAAATGACTTAACTGAATTTCTCATCATCTAGAACAGAATTTCTCCAAATACTTCAGAAAATACAGTAAGTTTTACTTAATAGGAAGAATTTCAACAAAAGCTTGTTGCTATCATGTTGAAGGAGCTGGGGTCCAGAGAGTACAAAGAGGAAGAGTGTCTGCCTGACATAATTAGCTAAGAGTTTTAAAGAACTTTTAGTAGTACTCGACTGCCAGGAAGAAACTAGGAACTGTAGCTACTAGATCAATCAACAGCTTTCTTTGTTTTTCTCCTGAAAATGAGAACACTATGAACAATTAAAATAAATAAAATATTGATTTTAATCCCAAAAGGCCCCTCTGGTTTATTCTAACTTCCTCCTAGTTTCACATCTTTAACAAAATGTCATTTTTAAAATACTTGTTGATTCTCACAGATGTCACAGCCCTTCTTGATCACAGCTTCTAAGGCTGGGGAGGTGGAAACCAGGAGATTTATCCATAGCACAAGGAATTGAGCACAGTAGCCCATACCAGGGAGAAACACAGCAGTGAGGGGCTACTGGGCTTGCCTAGAAGCCATCCAGAGTTGTCAGAGAATTCAGCCCAGTACTGTCAGCACTTCTGTTATTTTAAGAATCTTTATTCTCATCACAAAATTCTTAATTTTGTTTCATGTTGGCAACTATTTATTTTTAAATATGAGAAGCAAACTGTGACCACATTTCAAGCTCTAGGTGACAAGTAAGCCAGTGAATGCCAGCCCCAGAGAGAAGAACTCAGGGGGACCCAAAATGCCCAACTGATCAGAGCAGCAGAGGCAGGAATCAAGCTGACCGACCAGGTTCCCAGGCCGGCAGCAGACAGGAGGTGAATTCTGACAGCAAGTGTCGAGGCTGAGATTTCAACATTGTTCCACCTCATTCTGTCCTCTGGTTCTCTTGGTGGTTAGGGCTGCTCCAACACAAGACCACCAGGTTCTGAAGGCAGGGATTCCACGGTTCTCTTTTATCCTGCTTAAGCTAAAATAATCAAGGCCCTTTTAACTTTGTATACTTATCACCTTTAACATAAGTCAACAATTGCCAAGTATTGCAATATTCTCAGTTCACATTTCTAAGCAGATGATACAGGTTTCTACAGCTTTTTGGTGAGTAAAATGATCACATTTTACCATTTTCACTGCTATGCCTCTTTTCTTTTTTTTCTTTTTGCAGTTTTTGGCCAGGGCTGGGTTTGAACCCACCACCTCCGGCATATGGGGCTGGTGCCCTACTCCTTTGAGCCGCCCCTATGCCTCTTTTCTTAGACTTACCTATCTTAAATTCAAATTATAACAAATCATGAGCATATAGCAAAAATTTATGAATGTTTCCTTTAAAATCTGTTTTAGATTTTTAATTTTTAATTTTTTTAGATTTTTAATTTAATTTTTTAAATTTTCTAATTTTTAATTTAGATTTTTAATTTTTTTAATTTTCCTTTAAAATCTGTTTTAGATTTTAAAATCATTCATATTTCTGATAACAATCCTTATCTGAAACCCTTTATCTGGCGTTCTGAATTTTTCCGATTTAATAAATGAAATATACTACATATACCATCAATTACATAACCCTCCCAGCAGGGACAGCGACAGCCCTGCACAATTAAACCCGTTAACATCTCTTCACACACACACACACACACACAAATATTCACTCTGAATAGGATGAAAACCAAACAGAGCCCCTTCTCAGGTCAGGTTTTACAACTAAAAGAATTTTCTAACTTTTGACTTTCAACTCTTCCTCTAAGCGGCCTGAGGTGATCTGTGAAAATGGTTCGCTATTCACTTGACCCAGAAAACCCCACAAAGTCATGCAAGTCAAGAGGCTCAAATCTTCGTGTTCACTTTAAGAACACACGTGAAACTGCCTAGGCCATCAAGGGTGTGCATATACGAAAAGCCACCAAGTATCCGAAGGATGTCACCTTAAAGAAACAATGTGTACCATTCTGACGTTACAATGGTGGAGCTGGTAGGTGTGCCCAGGCCAAACAGTAGGGCTGGACACAGGGTCAGTGGCCCAAAAAGAGTGCTGAATTTTTGCTGCATATGCTTAAAAATGCAGAGAGTAATGCTGAACTTAAGGGTTTAGATGTAGATTCTCTGGTCATTGAGCACATCCAAGTGAACAAAGCACCCAAGATGGGTCGCCAAACTTACTGAGCCCATGGTCACATTAACCCATCCATGAGCTCCCCCGCCACATTGAGTCGATCCTTACTGAAAAGGAACAGACTGTCCCCAAACCAGAAGAAGAGGCAGCACAGAAAAAAAAGATATCCCAGATGAAACTGAAGAAACAAAACTTATGGCATGGGAATAAATGCAAAGAACTGTCAAAAAAAAAAGATGTTTTGACTTTCAGCATTTTGGGGATTTAGGAATAAGGGACTATGGTCCTAAGCTGCATGAACCTGAAGGATTCCACAGGTCACAATGACAAGCCAAAATAGACAGAGTTGAGGACCATGATGAGAAACAATGCAAAAAGTCTGCCTGGGGAGACCCAAGCCAGCGGGAATAAAAGCAAAAACAAAGCGACCCAGTCCTGAGGAAGGCACTCCACAAGAAAAGCAAAATTAAAACCAAACATCACGATCACCAACAGTCCACTGCAACCCACTGCACAATCGCAGTGTCAACTGGGGGCAGCCCAGTCCCTGGAACCTAAGGATATTTCAAGACTGTGCTAGAATACGCCACACCCAACATAAGGAGCAAACCAAGGGGACAGAAGTGACTGCACATTCCTGGGCCTCATCTAGTGACAGAAAAAGCCAAAGCCACAGAAAATTCAGGAACCGGCCAACCACACCCCTCCCGGGCCAGGTGTTCACTGGACAGGTGTTCAGGGCGTGGCTCCTCCCTCCTCCCATCAGAGGAACTTTGGAAAAGCTGCTTGTCACAAAAACCATTGAAAATGTCTGCGTCAGGTCAGCATCAATAACACGTTAGGTCTACCCAATCACTAACCAGTTTTAAGTAACTTCCACTTAATAATAAAGAAATTTCATATAGATTGATGGTCAGAAACACAGTTCCTATTTTCAGGTGGACTGATACACAATACAGTGGTTTATGGAAATAAGCCTTGTACACCATATACCTAATGAATTACTAAAACCGCTGTCCAAATACACTTTCTCTAACAGATGAACGCAGTAGGTTAATTCTACAAAACCTATAATCAGCGGCCTTATGAGTAATTTCTATCCACATCCTAAACTTCATCTTTCAAATCCAAACGATAAAAAGTCACTGCCTTTAATTTCATTAACCCAAAGCTTATTCTGTAAGATTGAGGGGCTGTATTATAAAATAGTATCCACATGGACAGCACAAAGAAAATCAGATTGTGTCTTACCTCTGCTCGCCCCTCATAGTAGGTTAACACGGACTTTGTAAGTACAAAAAGTCTCTCTTTGTAGTTTAGGGGTGATGTCTTCTTTTTCTGCTGGGACCTTTTAATGAGAATCTCTTCTAGAATAGTGTTAAAATTCATCTCGGTCTTCTAATTACTCCTTCTCCTGCCATTGAAGATCCTAGTATTCTAAAATGAGAAAAGGAACAGTTAAAAAGTGACAACTGTCCAAGAATATTGCCATTTTAAAATACCAAAATAGACTTTGCCCTCACCCCAGCTGCAGCTGCTGGAAGTTACTCTCTGCGCCCGGGTTGAGAATTTCCAGGGAGCAAAAACTCACCCGCCTCTCCTTCCCCAGTCTCCATCCCACTTGTCTATATCCTGTCATTTCATGAGAAAATCTAATCAAGGTTCCCCAAGATGATGACTGACCCCTTCTACACCCTTCCCCACAGTGTCCCTCGGCTTTATGTCACACTCCTACTGTCTGATTGCAAGGAATGAATATCTCAAATGGAGAAGTAACTTTCATCACCTGCCTCGCTGGTTTAGGTTAGCATCTGAATTGCCTCAGTGTCTTGGTACCCAGACAGATAACCACACAGACATGGCAGACTCGTGAACAAAATGAGTGACCCTGGTGGTAGGCACAATTCACACTGTAGCTCTGATAAGGGTGTAATCTCAATCAAGCATTCCCATCGCCAGTGCCACAGGGGTGCTCCCTGGTGTCGACACTGCCACGCTCCACAGTTCTCTTCCCTGCGGCTCCTGTCTCAACCACAAGAGAAAAGGAAACCTGCCCAGTCAAGGCCAACTCTACTCAGGAAAAGCCCCTCTGGATAAGGGGGCCCTCAGCCCTGTATTTGGAGCCTGTACCTCCAGATTATCCACACCTCGACTACATCCTTTAATACTCAACAAAACCTAACTATCTGAAGACCCAAAGATATCGAGAAAAAGCTTGAAGATTATTTGAGACAAGCTGAATTAACAACAGGCTTTCCTTCCCTTGCTACAATTATATCCATTTAGGAAGGAATTGCACATAAGGCCGGGCACGGTGGCCACGCCTGTAATCCTAGCACTCTGGGAAGCCAAGAAGGGTGGATTGCCTGAGTTCAGGAGCTGGAGACCAGCCTGAGCAAGAGCCAGAACCTGTCTCTTAAAATAGTGAGGTGTTGTGGCATAGCCTGTAGTTCCAGCTACTCAGCAGGCTGAGAAAAGAGGATCACTTGAGCCTAGGAGTTTGAAGTCACTGTGAGTTATAACACCACAGCTGTCAACCCCAGGGCAACTGAGTGAGATTCTGCCTTGAAAAAAAAAAAAAAGTAACTTCATATCAAACCAAAGATAGCACAAGGCACATGAGGTGTGCTAAGGGGCTACTAGATGGTATGACCGGCCACAGGACCCTGAGCTAGCCCCTGAGAAACTGTACCATCTTCACACCAATTGTTGTCTCCAATGAGCCCTTGTAACTCCCAGTTACTGGTCACCGTCCAATCAGAGCTCTCCGTTTTCGGTAAGGTTATTTTACAGCACCTTAACTCTGAACACCAGTTCCTACACTGATAAAGTGCAGGGTGGGAAGACTACAGGGTTAGTGCCAGGTTTAAATGAGATGTGGGAACGAATTTACTATGAAGACACCACACAAACATTTATTATCATTTTTAGTTCCACCATTATTTTCCTAGCTTAGAGAATACCACTTCACATCTGGACCACATAAAGCTGCTTCCCATCTTCCTTTCCCCAGGCTCTTGTCTCCTGCTATTCAAACTCCTACTCGAGATTCATCATGGCATTTCATTCATTCATCAGGACTCCTCAAAGCCTCCCCCGTCCACCACCACCAGCAAGATAAAGCCAAAACTCCTTCGTCTGACACCAGAAATTGTCCACAACATGCCATCTTCACTTCTACTCTTCCTCAAACATTCCACACTCCAGTCAAAACAGCCTACCGAAGTCCCAGCACCTTCCTCACAGCACTCATTCCCTGGCCTCCAGGACTCTCTGACCTTCCTTCTCTCTATCCATGAAAATTCTACCAGCTCAAAACTTACTGGCTCAGAGCCTGTGGCTCAAGTGGCTAAGGCACCAGCCATGTACACCCAAGGTGGCGGGTTTGAATCCAGCCCGGGCCCACCAAACAACAATGACCGCTGCAACCAAAAAATAGCCGGGCGTTGTGGTGGGCGCCTGTGGTCCCAGCTACTAGGGAGGCGGAGGCAGGAGACTCTCTTGAGCCCAGGAGTTGGAGGTTGCTATGAGCTGAGATGCCACAGCACTCTACCCAGGGGGACAGCTTGAGGCTCCTGTCTCAAAAAAAAAAAAATAAATGTAAAAAAGAAAAATAAACAGACTCCAGGCTGGACATGGTGGCTTGCACCTGTAATCCTAGTATTTTGGGAGGCCGAGGTGGGAAGATCCCTTGAGCTCAGGAGTTTAAGATCAACCTGAGCAAAAGCGAGACCCCATCTCTATCACAAAATAGAAAAACTGGCTCAGTGCCTGTGGCTCAAGTGGCTAAGGTGCCAGCCACATACACCTAGGGTGGCAGGTTCAAATCCAGCCCAGGCTCGCTGAACAACGACAGTTGCAACCAAAAAATAGCCAGGTGTCGTGGCAGGCACCTGTGGTCCCAGCTACTTGGGAGGCTGAGGCAGGAGACTCGCTTGAGCCCAGGAGTTGGAGGTTACTGTGAGCTGTGATGCCACAGCACTCAACCCAGGGGGACAGCTTGAGGCTCTGTCTCAAAAAAAATAGAAAAACTCAGCTACTCAGGAGTCTAAAGTAGGACTACTGCTTGAGCCCAGGAATCTGTGGCTGCAGTGAGCTATCAGTACGCCACTGCACTGCAAGACCCTGACTTAAAAAAAAAGTAAAGAAAATATAACAAAATTATAGGACCCACCCAGAAAGTCTGGCATCTGAAGAAAAAGATGTTCCAGAAAGAGAAAGCAACTAAAACAGAATGAGAAAACAATCGCAGAAAAAAATTAGGAAAATTTCCCCAAACTGAAGGTTATTTTCAGGTTAGAATAACAACGAAATCAAAGCACACTTTGTAAAAGTTCAAAATGAGGAGGATAAGCAGAAGACTCAGAAAGCCTAAAAGTAGGCTTTATAGGAAGGGTCAAAATTCAGAATGGCAGCTGTCCCAGATAACACCGGCCCCTGGGAGTCAGTGGAGAAAATTCAGAAGGAAATTGATTTCTTTTTTTTTGGAGGAGGTGAGTGGGCAGTGTCTCACTCTGTGCCCTGGGTAGAGTGCCCTAGCATCAGAGCTCATAGCAACCTCAAACTCCTGGGCTCAAGGGCTCCTCCTGCCTCAACCTCCCAAGTAGCAGGGACTACAGGGGCCTGCCACAACACCAAGCTAGGTTTTTTTCTATTTTTAGTAGAGGGGGTCTTACTTTTGGTCGAGCTGGTCTCAAACTCCTGAGCTCAGGCCATCCACCTGCCTCAGCCTCCCAGAGTGCTGGGATTATAGGAGTGAGCCACCGTGACTGGCTGCAAATTGATTTCTGATCCAAAATTCTATACTCAAAAGTGTCAATGAAGTTAATAGGAGAATAAAGACCTTGCTCAAATATGAAAGACTTCAAAATTTTTACTACCTATTCACCTTCTCAAAAGCTACTTGAGAAATACCAAAAATACCAAAACAACACAGTAAAGTAAATAAAGGAAGATTTAAAACACACACACACAGAGTCCAGGAAACAAGAGCAAAGGTAAGGAGACTCCCCCAGGTGATGGTGAAGGGAAATCCCGAGACAAGGGCCTTGAGCAGAAGGCCCGAGAGAGCAGCCAGTCCAAATGGGATCAGCTGCAAGGTTCTTGGGAAGAATTCTTTTAGGAAACAAAACTGAATGTATAGGGAGGAGATTTACAATAAATTAGTAAAAGTGAGTGAACTTGTCAAATAAATCAACTACTTCCAGGCAAAACAAAAAAATTGTGCAGAAAGGGGAAAATAATCACTATGCTGCAGGGCTCAGCTATAAATAACACCTGCAGCATCATAATAATAAGGGACAGAGCAAGTTATCATCTAATCTCTAACACAAATACACGGGGTGAGAGCAGGAAGTGTGTTTCTGTGTGGGTGGGAGGCCCATTTGAAGAAGAGCTGTACCGTCCACAGCTCTGGGTCAGTGGGGATAGGAAGCTCATACATATTACCCAAAATTGAAAACCCAGGAAGTAGCGATGCAAGCACATCAACGAAAGACTGTCAGGAGACAAAACTGCATCAAATTTAGTTATCGATCTAATTGGCTTTTATTCACAATTCATGAATTAAGGCAGCCTCCCTGCTAAAAAACAGAATGGGAGCTCCCACCCGGCCACCGCAGAACAGCAGTAGAGAAAAACCCTGACCAGTTTACATCCAGAGACTTCAGGTTATGCTTTTCTCTACAAGTTAAAGCAGGGAGGACTTTCCTTATCTCAGGGACTCAAGCAGACTGTAATCTCCTGTTTTCAGGAAAAACTGGTCTGTTCAGGGACCTATCTGCTTCCTGAAAGCTCCAGCCTGACCCTGTGCCAGTGAGCACGAGGGACTCCATTTTAATCTGGACAGGAGCTCAGTTCAAGACAACAGTCTCCCATCTTTTTTGTGTAACAAGATACAACAGTACTAAAACATTTGAAAAAATAAAAGTGACTTCCTCTGGGAATCAGGAGTTCACTGAGGAATAGCAGGGTAAAGGTATTCATACTCCACTCTCCTCCTCGTCTTCAATGAAACGAAAAGCTGGCCTTCAGCCATCTGAAGTACCTACCTGCCCAATACTGGGAAATCTGGTATGAGGAGGAGGATAAGGGTAGATTTCCCTAGAAGTAAGCATCATTGTTCTGAAAGGTTAATCCAATGGCCTTCTGACAAGATCAATGCAATCCAGAGGGATGGGCAATGTAGGGGAATTAGGGAATATCCCTACAGAATTATCATTATACAGAAAAATAATAAAAATTGTAGTTATCATTATTGTGCTTTTACTATTTTCCTATGTGTTGGCACCATCCCGACCATGAAGTCTGTTAGATGTACTGAACCATGTCATTCTCCCAGCAACCTTCTGAAGTAGGTACCGTGTTTCCCTGAAAATAAGACCTACTGAAAAAATAAACCCTAGCAGGATTTCTATGCATTTGATAAATATAAGCCC